ATACAAACAGCAACAATATTTGGAATATAACCTGGAGTGTAAACACAGGGTCGCCTTGTATTTTACTAAAGTCCCTACATTCTACAGACAACGGCTAAGCTCATAATTATGTTTTCCCATTTAGTAACAGGACTTTTTAAACTCTTACCAGCCGTATCCTTTTGAAAGGTACAAAGACAGCAAGAAACGACATCTGTTAAGCCAGGTAGAGGGAGAATAGATCCGCAACGAGGACAAAAATCTGGATCGCAGCTAAAAGCTTCGACTTGCTTCACTTTTTTCGCCATCTTGAATTGTATGGAAAGCCGCTGAATTAACTATGCTAACAGGCGGCTCAACAATTCGCTATCTCGTCTCCATTCCCTCCAGACTCGATCATGTGGTACGCTGCCAGGTTATTTTTGCTTTATTTGTTTGTTTATTTTTTTTTTCTTTTCCTTGCTTGATAGTTGCCGCCATGTTTACGGTCACAGGGCCTAACTGTAAGTTGACAGATTGTGTAAGCTGATTATGTAGATAAAGTTTAAAAACAAAGTAAAGTGGACAGCTGATGCACCTTATCCGTGCAAACATTAGCATCAAAATTATGGACACCAATGAAACAAGGCAACAGGTTTTTACTACTTTCTGTTTTTGATTAGCATGCTTCCTAGGTCATTAGCTGATTAATTAATATTTACTCTGTGGCATTATAGTATATCAAAGACGCTCATATGTATGCCGTGGCTTTAAGGTTCCTACGATCCAAAAAGTGCTTAACAATTTGGGTTTCTCATAGTAAAAATGATATCGTTAATTATTATCACTGATTTTCTTAATGGATGCTGGACCCCTACTGAATACATCAACTTCAAAGAGAATATCCCCCTCCCCACCCTGTCCTATGGATGGCAGAGAAAGTTCTGCATATTTCCAGGGAATTCACTTTAGAATGCTCAGTAATGGAAGATGTCCGGCCAGTCTGTGAAGATTTGTCGAAGCAGCTGGTGATGTCGATCTCTTACTGAGCCTTAGGATATTCTTCATACTTCCAGTTGTTTTGTTCGGCTATGGGTACAACGTCTTTTCCAGAGTGGATCTAGGAGCCTCTAGAAGAACGACTGATCTTGTCGATGGGACGCTCCAGGACTGCGGACTTGGTTTTCAGCCTGACTCTCCTCACAAGCCCGTCTCTCTTGTTTGGTTTTACTTCCAGGATGCGACCAAGGAGCCACAAGTTTTCTACCACGAGAACAATTTCTCCAGTTTCAAAGTAGATCCTTTATCTTTGCAGTGATTGCCTTCTCACTTATAGCAATAAAACTCCCCAGATAGTGACTTTTAAAAACAAACTCCAACCGAATGGAATAAAATTAAGCAGAAGTTCTCAAGTACGCATTGCGGACCTATTTGTTAATTTTTCTTTCTTTTTTTTTTTTCTTTTTTTCTCCCAAAAACTCGTGGCTAGATATGATCGTGTTTTATTATAATATATGTACGTGTCAGTCCCTCAGAAGTGTCAGAAGGATCCTCTATCTTGAGGAACTACGCAGTGTAATCCGTTTATCCGGTCTAGGCCTGCTGCACGAGTTTGGTTGGGCTTTAGGCAATGAATCTAATCAGCAGATCTTCACTACTGCTTACTTACTACTACTACTTACTAATCAGCAGATCTTCACTACCATCCGTTGCGACGGTCAATGTGCAGTGTTTGAATGAGTCGATAACCACTTGCTTGTGATTGAACACGACTAAAACTAGACATCTTTTATTGTCTCAGTCGTCCATAAAACAGGGGGAGAGGAGGGGGCGCTTCTTCGAGGGGAGGCTCTTATTGTAAATTTTGGCCCATAGGAGGGGGACTTATTCGAAGGGGGCGCTTGGTTGAGGGAAGGAGCTATAATTCGGGAATTTATAATATATTGGGTAGTTCTGTTTTAATCTTTGCACGTACGTCGAAGTTTCCCTTTTTCCTCTGATTATTAACTGTATCCAGGTGGAGTAACAGTAATATGAAATATAAAAGTAAATGGACTCCTTGTTTACTTCTACATTTGCGCTGGCTTGGTTTGAGGAACAGGATGTGTTTTGATGTCTCTTTCTTGCAAAATATTTAACAAAAATTACGTAGAAAATGTTAAATTCGATACATAGTCACTGTTTTGTTGACCACAAGACTTGAATGAATGCATTTTACACTCACAGTACTGCTAATGACCTGTAAAACACTTTTTTGGTTCAAGAGTTCCCTCTACCCAAAATAACTTGAACCTCATGCAAACCTCTGAATCAGCAGAAATGCATATTACATTTGGACATGCCAAAATTACGCCTTGCAAATTCACAATGTCTTCTGCTTAAAAAATTATGTTATTGAGTTCTATGTTATTGATGATTATTGAGGTAGAATAATATGAAAGAGCAAGCATGGGCAGGGAGGGGCAAAACACTCACTACAGTCCACTTTCGCCCTGGGAACACCCCGTTATTACGCTGGACAGCCGCTATACTGGACAGAAACTAAATCCCTGACCGAAACTGGAAAGAAATGTATAGAAATAACTCCGGTTATTACGGAATTGCGGACACTTCATGTTGTTCCAAAGTAATATTTTTATTGTTCTTCTCTCGTTACGACGGAAAACTTGGACGTATTGAATGACCTAATTATTTTGCAGTCTTATAATTCTAACCGATGTGGTGGTTAAATTAAACGATTAATATTTGTCAAAAAGGATGTCTATTACAAATTGAAAGAACAGGAAATCTTAAAAAAAGTATAGCAAAGTATACGCTATATGTGACACTTCACGGACAAAAATTTAGTCATTTTCCACAGACCCTGCTATTGCGTACTCTATCACGGACACCAAATGACGGTTCCGAAGGTGTCCGCTATAGCGAGAGTTGACTGTATTCTCGTCTACAGAGGGCGTCAGTGGTCCTTTAGTTCAGGATCAAAAGTCTCACCTTCTAGCCGAAGTAGCTCCAGTTTGAAAGATTGCGATTCGTGGACTTCTGGCTGTTCTGCGCAGACTCAAGATTAATTCTATCCACATCGTAAAAGAGAACTTTGCGTATGCTAAAAAAGAAAAGGGAACTTACCTATAATTGTTAGTTACGACAGAAAAGAATGTCACGTCTGGGAGCGACTAAAAAACAGAGCAATGAGAAGCAATAACGTACCGAAAGTAAATTAAAAACAGATTAAATTAAAGATTGTAAGAAAAGAAACACATGAGCACGGATGGCAGTTCTACTAGTTTCGACCAAAAAAAAAAAAAAAAAAAAAANAAGATTTGACCAAAAAAAATCTGCACTCTCCTTCACTTTTCAACCTTACCCGACCCTAGCTAAGTGTGAGTTTCCCCTGCATACTTTCTCTTGCTTGGCGAAGGAGTAAGGAGGCGCTTTCCATTGGACAAAAAAATTCCGCTTTGCATGCATTATAATTACTGG